CTGCAGGCCATCGTACAAGGCAGCAATTAGAGCCTAAACATTGGGAAATTTCTCGCCCTCAGTTTGTGGTTATTGTTTTCAACTCATATTAGGACTCTGAAAGAAGACACTTAACACATGTCTGTTTGTGTACGTGTGTATTTTTGTATGCGTAGACTAGTTAAGGTAGCCCTCTTATTTATGGCGATCTTGTTACAAGTTAATTATCGTATATAAGTAGAGCTTCGAGACGACTACATCTCATATACTTGTTACAAGTTAGTTGGGATTGAAGTGGAATGCATCGAAATACTGATGAATAACTAAAAAAAGATAGTCTGCAGCAATCAAACGAGGCCAGATACAAAAGAACAGTGGCATATGGACAGTCATGATTTGTATTCCAGTGGAACCAGAATATAAACCCCGCTCTCAAGTGATTTTATATGAAATGAAGATACAGATAAGAGAAGGATGTTGGTCTTAGTTATATCGACAAAACAGATACCGAGTAAAACCCTATTTCAAAGTTCAAAATGATTTAATTATTGAGGCAGATGAAAGAGCCATTTCATAGCAAATAACTATTTGACAATCCAGGCAACCTTCCACATTTTTATGACTTTTCCTATTGATGTCACAATCTAGAATGCTTTTTTATCTCATTTTACCCTCCGAATATACCTTAGAATAGGGCTTGAACTCCTGGCTCATTTTGATTGTTGGGACTATTCCTTCATTCTTCGGATAAGGAAGCCAGACAACCGACGAATGATAGGAAAAGTCTCTCGATAGATTACCTTAAAAAGAAAGATAATATGGTACAATATCGGATGCTTCCGAAAATAAAGTATTTTGACAAGACTCCAGTTAACCTGATAGTTGGGCTGCAAAAGCTAATAGAAACCGAAGAAAAAGAGACTCAATCATTCATTCATGGACATCTGAGGATCGTAACCAAAGTATCAGTCCCTGATCCTGGGCATTTGTAGATCGTCTCTGGTATAAGACTATCTCGACGTCGGCCTATGAATGCTCTAGGAGCACTTGTCAATTGTATTCCCGGGCAAGTGTACTGGGAATCTTTTATTCGATCATCTTCAAAAACACTATCAAAGACACAAGATCGTAGGAGACCAAAACATGTGCTGCGCAAGAGCCTGATTGTCATGGTTAGACCTTGGGCTCTGAATAAGAATGGATCCGAAATACTAAGCCTGGCTATTTACCAAATGCTACGCCAGTCCTTACCATGACAATACATTCTAGTGTAAAAGAAAGATCGTCGCTAGTCTTCTAGTATGTTAGGCTTTGGTTGTACAGAGTAGTTGAGACCACATTGGTTGGCTATAAATTAATTGCAGAAATGATTTTGCTGAATAATATCTCCGTTCCATGTACCCCAGCTGTAGATTCTTATCCAAGTTCAAGGGTAGATATGACCTCACATTAGTGAACCTATCACTTTAGAATTCACCATTGGGCATCAAGGCAGACCCGACTCTTTTAACACGTACGCCAAACATTGAACCGCCTTTATAAAAAATATGCAGGTTTTGAAATAACCACTGGATCTTGAACAAAAGTTATAGCTGCCTTAGGCCGTTTAAGGCGACGAAGGACTGATAATTGACATTTCCCACCATCATATGAATCCACTCCGGGTGGGAATACTTTTCAGGAGGCAAAGCTTAGCGAAATTCAATACTAAGGTGTGATAAAATTTAACTATCCGACCTGGAATTGATACAATTTTTATTCATAATCTATTGATGGTATTTTAATCTACTTATTATGGATGTGAGTAGCGTAATAGTGAAACATAAGTTTGTTGAGCTTACTTCCATTTCG